AGCCTACAAACTTGAAATTTGGCACGTATGTTTCTCTTGGCTTCTAGGGGCTCACTAAGAAAGGATGTTTCGAAATGACCCTCAGAGCATTTAGAGTATTTCCTATGTTATTATTATTATTAACACGCTCTGATGCTAAGGAGTTCGACTCCCTCTTCCCACCTGGAAAGAAATCTGTTCCAAAACACAAGCAGAGGAGTTTCACTTTCACTTTCAGAGCAGCAACCAGCTTTGGTACAGAGCGGTTGAGCTAAGCCACGCCCAGGCTCCTTGCTGTCTCTTTCTTGCTCACACAGCAAACACTCTTCCAGTTTCCAAACAGCCCTCAACTGTCTCTCACGCTAACAGGACACTAGCCAGATGAATACCGATGGATGCTGGTAGGCAGAGGCAGAATTCCCCCCCGCCCCTTATTTCCCTCCCCCAAAACTAAGCCCGATCAGAGTTTCGTAGCGAAGCACGGGTATCGCGCTAGTTTTTAATAAACCAAACTTTGCATGGGGACAGGAGGCTCCAGAAAGACAACATGGCACTTGCATCCACACGACTAAACTTTCTCCTGTTTCTCGTGCATTGGGAGGCCTGTACAGAAGGGAGGAATTTTGACTGCACAACTGCAACCTTCACCTTAACCCTAACCTTAACCACCCACTACCCAAGGCAGAATAGGCTCAGCCAACCATGCCTCATACCTCCATCAATGAAAGGAGTAATTTAAACATTGGGCATCTTTGTAGACCTGTTTACCCCATGTTTATTCAGTTTTTCAAAGGTTTGCCCAGTACACTGAACCATAAACTAAAACCGACCAGAAATGCACAAGACGCAAAGCTAAGCCTGCCATTGGCTGGTATGTGCCTCAGTGTGTCACTTGTCATCCCACTCCTCAATATGTGGTTATTTGGGAGCACCAACAGAGAAGATGCAGGCCTGACAACCAACCAACCAACCATCCATCCATCCATCCATCCATCCATCCATCCATCCATCCATCCATCCATTTCAACTTCTTCTGATCTTCTTAGGTGTTCCCTACAGGTGGTTTTGCAGGTTTTGAAAATACCTGCATTTCCCCTCTGCAGGTATCAATCCTGCCTGCCCCAAATTCTTCTCCCTTTGGTTCTTCCGCCATCCCATCTCTCTCTCTCTCCTCAATTCTTTTCTCTTGGAAGCAGACTTAGTTCTGCAAAATATAGAGACGCCCCTTTCATTAAGCCGGCCTCTTCTGAGCCCAGAGGGTTTTATGACCGCTTTGTCCAGGTGGGTCTGGCTTCTCCTCGCAGTCCCGCCAGCAGGGAATAGGAGATGCAGCCTTTGGAGGGCAACATCTGGAGGGCGCCGGGTGGGGAAAGGCTTCCCAGAAGCAAAGCCACCAAACTTGTCACTCGGAAGGAAATAATACACCGAAATGAAAACACCAAGATCTGCAGGCAACACTTAAAACTCCAGTTGCAGGAAACGAGAATCGCCTTCCTTGAGCCTTCCCCGTTGTTGCTTCTCTCCTCAAGAACAAAGACCTTTCTTTCCTTTACATCAACTCGCTCTCTCCCTTGCACGCCAGTTGTGTATCAGTTTGCACAAGCTATTTCACCCAGCCGGCTAAAAATCCTAGCCTCTTGTATTTAATCTGAGGTGGTTTGTTTTTTTTAGGGTGGGTAGTAGCTTAGCCCTTGTGTACCCAACTTTTGAAATAACTTTACCATTCAATGCATTGCATGAACTGAGAAAAAAAAAAGGTGAATTTAGTGAGTTAAGATAATTGTGCAAATAAAATGGTTCTCGCCCCCCCACCCCCCGATTCTGGAAAGGCAATGGGGAAGATAGAAGACCGACACAGCCCCCCCGCCACATCTTTCAAAATAACCTTTGGTGATTTTTATTGCTTTTTTTATATTATTATTCAGGCATGTCTGGAAGGCAGGGTCAAAAAGAGTCAAGATGACAGCCATGACGATATCATCAAAGCTCTCTGCCTGTGACACCCCAGTAGAGCAAGGGTCTTCCAACTTGGCAAGTTTGAGACTTGTGGACTTCATCTCCCAGAATTCCTGAGCTAACATGACTGGAGGAGGAATTCTGGGAATTGGAAGTCTGCAAGTCTTAAAGCTGTCAAGTTTGAAGACCCCTGGAATAGACAGATACAGAAAGAGAGATAGATAGAATAGATAGATAGAGTGAGAAAGAGAGAGAGAGGAGAGGAGAGGAGAGGAGAGGAGAGGAGAGGAGAGGATAAGATAGATAGATAGATAGATAGATAGATAGATAGATAGATAGATAGATAGATAGATAGATAGGATAGAATAGATGGTCTTCAAACTTGCCAAGTATAAGATTTGTGGGCTTCAACTCCCAGAATTCCTGAGCTAACATGACTGGAGGAGGAACTCTGGGAGTTGGAGTCCACAAGCCTTAAAGCTGTCACGTTTGAAGACCCCCGCAGTACAGCATCCTAGGGGCAAAAACTGCAGCCTCCTGAAGTTGCTGACGGTAGACATAGACATAGTTAACCATGGTTGACTTCCTTGTTGCAAACCTGACTGACTCCCTGGAATAAAGAGATGCGTGCCAAAGGATTCCAGCCCCCCACTCCCCGGTTTGTCCTGAGCCCTTCCAGGGGCCCTTGGGAAGCTGAATGTCCCAGACCAACCAAATCTGGGTGCAGAAGGTTAGTTGGGAAGGAGTGGCCCAACTCCGTCTTTGCTTCACTCCCAGTTTATACAATCCTTTCTTGCTCTCCTACCCTCAGAAAATGCAGGGGTGAGCTGAAATCTGATAGTTTTGGGGGGGAGGAAATAGCATAGAAATGGGATTTAAAAAGCCACTTTCACAGACTCTCTAAGGCAGAGGTCTCCAACCTTGGTCACTTTAAGACTCGTGGACTTCAACTCTCAGAATTCCGGGACTTGGAAGTCCACAAGTCTTACGGTGGCCAAGGTTGGAGACCCCTGCTCTAAGAGATTCTCTTTGAGGGCTCCCGTGTGCCACAGACAAAACTCTTTGCAAACTGGTAGCTCTCCGTGATAGCTTTTGACATGAAATGGAAAAATAAAAACATTCAGCCCTTTGGAAGAATGATAATTACATCCACCCACCAAATCATCTTTTCACAGCCTTGGGGCGATGCTGAATGTGGCTCCTTGGGAAACTCAGCCTCTACAAAAATCTTTTGTTTGGTTTTGTTTTTTACATGTCAGGCACCGTTCGCTCTGCCAAGGCTCTCTGGCTGCTTCCTTCTTCAATGCATCTGGCCAATATTTCAGATTACAGCCCCCAAATCTCTTATGCAAACACAATGCATCATGTCAGTTGTGGGGCAAATAACATGAGCAAGCATTTTTTTCTTTTTTTTGGTTTCTTCCCTGGATACAATTCCGGGAGCTGCAGAAAGCAGCAAAAATAGTAGAAGAAGAAGGAGAGGGAAGGCAATGCGCATTTGATTAACGGAGAACAAAGAACAGCGACTCAGACTTAAGAGGGGAAATAGGCTAAAAATAAATTCAAAAAGACACATCACAACAATGGAGCAACTACGAATGGACTCCTCCGGAGTTCAGGAGATCTTAAAAAGTTGCTCCTTGGGAATGCTTACATTCCCATCAAGGGAAGACCCAACCAACGGGGATTTACTAAGGCTTTGGAGACTGGCGTTTGTAAGTCTAACCAAACAGGCCAAAGCTGACAGCTAAACTTTGGCGAAACTTTTCCCAAACAAAGCAACGTTGTAAAAAAGAGAAAGGATGAAAGAAAGAAAAAAAGAAAGAAAGAAAGAAAGAAAGGAAAGAAGGAAGGAAGGAAGGAAGAAAGGAAGGAAGGAAGAAAGAAAGAAGAGGGGGGGGAGGAAGAAGGAAGGGAGGGAGGGAGGAAAGAAAGAAAAAAGAAAGAAAGAAAGAAAGAAAGAAAGAAAGAAAGAAAGAAAGAAAGAAAGGAGGGAGGGAGGGAGGGGGAAGGGAGGAAGGAAGGGAAAGAAAGAAAGTAGGAAGGAACGAATGAAAGAAAGAAGGAAAGAAGAAAGAAGGGAGGAAAGAAAGAAAGAAGGAAAGAAAGAAGGGAGGGAGGGAGGAGGAAGGGGGGAAGGAAGGGAAAGAAAGAAGGAAAGAAGGAAGGAAGGAAGGAAGAAAAGAGAGAAAGAAAGAAAGAAGGGAGGGAGGATGAAGGGAAGAAGGAAGGGAAGAAGGAAGGGAAAGAAAGAAAGAAAGAAAGAAAGAAAGAAAGAAAGAAGGGGGAGAAAGGAAGGGAAAGAAAGTAGGAAGGAAAGAAAGAAGGAAGGAAGAAGGAAAGAAAGAAATAAGGGAGGGGGAGGGAGGAAGGGAAAGAAAAAAAGCAGGAAGGAAAAAAAGAAGGAAGGAAGGAAGAAAAGAAAAGAGAGAAAGAAAGAAAGAAGGGAGGGAGGATGAAGGGAAGGAAGGGAAAGGAAAAAGGAAAGAAAGAAAGAAAGAAAGAGGGAAAGAAAGAAACGGAGGAAGAAAGGGAAAGAAAGAAAGTAGGAAGGAAAGAAAGAAGGAAGGAAGGAAGGAAGGAAGAAAAGAAAAGAGAGAAAAAAAGAAAGAAGGGGGGGAGGATGAAGGGAAGAAGGAAGGGAAAGAAAGAAGGAAAGAAAGAAAGAAAGAAAGAAGGGGGAGGAAGGAAGGGAAAGAAAGAAAGAAGGAAGAAAAGAAAGAAAGAAGGAAGGAAGAAGGAAAGAAAGAAAGAAAGGAAGGAAGGACGGAAGGAAGGAAGGAAGAAAAGAAAAGAGAGAAAAAAAGAAAGAAGGGAGGGAGGATGAAGGGAAGAAGGAAGGGAAAGAAAGAAAGGAAGGAAGGAAGGAAGGAAGAAAAGAAAAGAGAGAGCGAAAGAAGCGAAGGGAGCCCCCTCGTTTCCTTCCACCCTCCTCCTCTCCGGGGGAAGAAAGAGGAGCGCGGCGCTTTTGTCCAACCTGGGCGCCCCAAGCCATCAGGGGCGAAAGCAAACGGGCCCCGTTTTGTGCCCAGAAAGCCGCCCCCCCCCGCGCCGGCTCCACTCACTTGTCCAGGACGAAGTAGAGGTCGAAGCCCCCGTAGCAGGCGGCGCCGCCGTCCTCTCTCTGCCCGCCTCGGCCGTCGCAGGTGGCCACCAGGGCGGCCAGGAAGAGCCAGCGCGAGCCCCGGAGGAGCCGCGGCTTCTGCTCGGCGAGAGCCATGGCCGGCGGATCCCAGGGGCCCCGGACGCGCGCTCGCCTTGCCCAGCGCCTTCAGCCGACGGCCATGCAGCGCCTCCCCGGCCAGAAAGGAGGAGGGAGGGGAGCAGTCCTGGGAGAGGGGTGTATTGGGGTTTTTTGGGGTGTGTGTGTGTGTTTCAGAGCCCCCCCCCTTCTGCCCTCCTTTCCAAACTGCGCTCCCTTGCGCTCCCGAGCGCAGCCCGGCCAAGCCCGCCGCTCCACGCGCTTCCAAAGCGCCGCCGCACGCGCGCTCTCTCTCCTCTCTCTCTCTCTCTTCTTTCTTCCCTTCTTTCTTTCCTCCTTGGCTTTTGCTTCGGCCCAGATGTGGAGGAACGTGGGAGCCTCCACCCCCCCTCCCCTCCCCGCCCCGCTCCTCTTTCCCCGCCAAGGCTGCGGCCGCGCAAGCAAGCGGAGGGGCCGGGATGCCTCCTTGTGGCCGAGCGCAGGTTGCTACTCCGAGGATGCGCGGAGTCGCCTTCGCCCCAGGCTGAGCCGAAAGCCAGCGGGACTCCGGGTCCAGGAGGACCTCGATGGGCTCGAGGAAGGGATCCAACACCCGGGGGGAGGGGGGGTCATTAGGACTGAGGGGAAAAAAATAAGTGAAAACCTCTCCCCCCCCCCCCCAGGAAAAAAAAAACCATAATGCAACAGGCAGCCATTCGTGCCCAAACTGCTGGCAACAAAAGTACGTACAGCTACTCACCTGCCCCCCCCCTTCACACCTGAGACCTTCTCACGCTAATGAGTCACCTGCCCCACCAGGGAGGGAAAATGGCTACCTGGGCCCCATTTGAACATTATCACTTAGGGAGCGTAATCACTTTTGAGAATAGAATAGAATGGAATGGAATGGAATGGAATGGAATAGAATAGAATAGAATAGAATAGAATAGAATAGAATAGAATAGAATAGGAAGGAAGAATAGACTAGACTAGACTAGACTAGACTAGACTAGGAAGGAATAGAATAGAATAGAATAGAATAGAATAGAATAGAATAGGAAGGAATAGAATAGAATAGAATAGAATAGAATAGAATAGAATAGAATAAGGACTA